GACATTTCCCTCTTCCAGTTCACCAAATGCCATCAGATTTGGCAATCTGGATTTGTCCCACACCCAGGGGAAGGGCTGGAATGTTCCTGGTGGCTCCCTGCAATCCTGATGTGCCTCACAGTGATTGAAAGGAAAGCTCCTTCCTCTCCACTGCACTGGGTGATGAGCAGATGAAATCTCTCCTGAGCCCTGTGAATTATCAGGAGCAAATCTGTGCCTTCTTGATAAATCACATAAAACATCTACTTTGCAACCTTTAATTTAATCTGCAGACTGATACCATATTGCTCCAAGCTTTATATCTTAAAAAAAAAAACCCATGAAAGACGGACAGGTTGTGCTAATGATATTTGACAGCTCTTTGTCCTCCAATAATGCATTTCCACAGAGCAGAGATTTCCTGGCTAACATTTGCTGGGGGTTCAGATGATTAATGACAGGCTGGGCTGCAGAATGACAGGGGTAAAGGTCTCCTGTCCCAGGTTTATCACCAGCCCAAGCCTCTCAAATCGAGCTCAGCAGCAGCTTTGTGGGTTGTTTTTGTGTATTTTCTTGTTTTATCAGCAAATCAATGGAACAGACTGGCAGGGAGGAGGTTTGGGTGGGATATTGGGAAGAAATTCCTCCCTCCCAGGGTGAGGAGGTTGCCCAGAGGAGCATGTGGTGGTTTTTATTCATTTACAGGTATTTTATAGCTTTACCTGTTTGCCTGGCTTGGATTAGGGATGGAGCAGGTTGGATCTGGGCTGCTCAGAGCTGCATCCAGAGCCTGATCCAGCCCAGCCCTTTTCTCTCTCTCTATTGACATTTCCTCAGTCAATGTGGGCTCAGAGCAAGAGATAACTCAGGGCTCTGTGTGCATTCCTGCTCTCACAGCCCTGCTGGGAGAGAAAAACCCAGACAAAAACACAAAAGCATGGCCTGAGCTCCCACGCCCTGTGTGTCACCTCTGGGGATTCCAGTCGGTACATGGAAATGCAAATTTGCGTTTACTTAGAAATATATCTTCAACTGTACATCTGTCAAATTAACAAATAAATTGAGGAGTAAAATAAATTCTGCAGTTGATTTGCCTACTTGTGTAAAACCAAGTATTGTGACTACAATAAATGTGTCACTGGGACCAAAATTCTTCTACAATGAAGTCCATTTTGTTATTTTAGAGAAAAACAGCCATTTTTAATATTTAGGTTTTAAGATAGTAATTTTTAATATTTAGATTTAACTGCACACGTGTTGCAGCAGCATTCTCTGCAAAGGAAAAGTCAGCTCTTACAAAAGCCATCCTGAGCATCTCCAACTGTGATTCCACTCCAAAATGTGATTCCACGACTCCTCAGGAGCTGAAATGAGCACACTGATTTGTTTTAGGCAGCACACACACAACAAACACCTGAGCACAAAACAGACCCCTACAAACAGAGACAAGCTTTAGGTTTAAACCTTTCCCAGGGGCTTTTGATCCCTGATATGTTCAACATTGGTGCTGGGAGACATTTTTGGAAGCAAACCAAAGCTCTTCTGGCTGAACTTTCAACAGCAGGATTAAAAAACTGGAGGGGAAAAGTGCTTTCACAGCAGCAATGGAACTGAATGTTTTATTATTTTCCCCCCAGTGTTAATAAAAAGCAATGTTGGAGTTACCAGCAGTCCTTGGCCATGTGTGCTGGGATTAATGATTTTCCTCTGAGTTGATTGTACCCAAAGGCAGCCAGTTTTATCTCATAAATAAATATATTTTGTGTACTGCAGGTTGTTGGTCAGAGGCCAGGCCTTACACAGGAGCTTGGTTAAATTCAGACAAATCCCAGATACCCAAGAGACAGCAGAAATTTAAACAGAATTTTAAAATCCCCAAAGCAGTGTGTTGTAAGTGTGGTGTGCACAACCCTGTTTGTTACAGAAAAGGCAGGAAAAGCACCCACGTTTGATGATTTGATGGAATTCTGGACTGTGCTCGAAGGGTAAAACTTGGCAGACTAAAACTCCACTGAACGAGGTTTTTCCTCCCTTTGCTGGGTTGAGAAATCCACCAGGAATTTTTCCTTAAGGAATGGCTGGGAGAGTCCTGGTCCAGCCTGGAGTCCAACACTGAGCACATCCTGATGTTCTCATTTTTATAATTTTTTTATTCCGCTTTTTATCAGCTGGATGGAAGTTCCCTTAATGCAGACCTGTTCCATCTCCTGCTGGGGGAATCCTCCTGGCTGTGTTTGGTGTTCTGTGCAGCCCCAAAGCAGCCAGAGTTTAATTAGAAAATAATTTGGTTTTCTGCATGACTCACACCATCTAAATAAAGACAAAGTTGGTTGTAAATAATTTCTGTCAGGCCTTATTATGCCTATATATATTCATATTTTTTTTCTCTCTCATGAATCAGGCTATTAGAATAACATTAGAGAAATTATCTGAACCACTGACTCATGCAAACCAAACTGCTCAGTTCTGTTGTTCCTACAGAAATGTGGCTTCAGTGTTCAGAATTCAGTCTCTTCTTGCCCTTGGATGTGATTTTATTACCACAAAATTATCAGTGCTTCAGATCCACACCATTTCCTGTAATTACTGAATAATTATCCACCACATTTGCATGGTGGAGTGTAAAGGGAGCTCGGGTCTGCTCTAAAAAATGGGGATTAATAAAGGTTCCACTGGAGATCATCCTGTGGGAAACATTTCTGTACCAGAGGTGCAGAATCACAAACCAGCCTTGCAAATCCCTGAAGGGCAGGAATTGATCCCATGGTGTTTGACAGAGGTTTTTACCCAGCTCTAAAAATCTGGGAGCTCCTTGACAGCAGGCACCAAAATGAGCAGAATTTCACCTGTATTTACTGCTTTAGCTGCTGCAGCCAAGTGAAAACCCAGCCATGGGTGACTGTGGGACTTGCAAAACAAAACCTGGATTGAAATTTTATTTTCAGATAAAATAAAGCTGAAAAGGTGATTCCATGAGGGATCCTCAGCTCAGTGCTCTGAGGTGATAGAACAGCACTTTGTGACACATTTCATCCCCAGGTGCCTACAGATGTCCCTCCCTTGGCAGCACAGGGAAGGACAATAAACCCTTGGCATTCTGAGCAGGATATTTACACATTGATCCTGCCAAGTGCACCTGAATGATCCATCAGGGGTGAGCAGAGCACCAGGGCTTGGTCATGGGCTTCTAGCACAGCTCTCTTGTTCAGGTAAAGGAAACATTATTAGAGATAACAGATTCTAATCCACCAAAAATAAAAACTCCTTAGAACAGAATGCTGAACAGAATAAGTGCCAACTCAGGAACAATTGCAGATCTTCATGACAGAAAGGTTATTAAAAAGCAAAACCAGGATGCTGTCAAATAATTCCAAGCAGCAGATGCACCATCTGCAAAGCCACTTCCACAATGACAACTCCAGAATAAAAAAAGTGTTTCCTGCATGTTCTGCTTTACACATATAAAAATACCAAATGATAGCTTGGCACAGGAGCTCTGCAAAATACAAAAATTCAGAGGCTGAGCTGAAAAATGTTGAGATGCAATGACTTGCAGGCACAATTGGCCAGAGCACAGGAGGAAATTGGACATTCCAGGTGCAAAAAAGCCCTCCCATTCTGTAGCAAGGACTAAGCCAACAGGAAAAATGTATCACAGCCATAAAGGGAGAGAAAATAAGGGGAAAATCGGATCTGTGGCACTGAGCAATCCTCCCTAAACACCAGCACTGTGTTTATGGCCAATATTCCCATTTTAGGATCAAAGAGCAGCGAGCTCTCCACACCCTGCCATGGCAGGAGGGTTGGAAATAAAATACCATAAAATCATCTTTAAGGTCCCCTCCAACCCAAACCATCCCAAAACCCTTTTTTACCCCACAACGAAGCCACATCACGCTGTGGCCTAGCTGGCAGTGGCAATGATGTGAAATCCCTGCAGAGCTGTGAAATGCCCAGCACAGCAGAGACCCTGGAACTGCCACCACCCAATTAAAGCTCCTTCCCTGCCAGCAGCAGTGGCACTGCCAGCCTGGCACGGGCTGGCCCAGCACGGGCATTGCCAGGTCTCTGATGCCATCTGCTGGGGGCTCCTCGTGTTGGGTCACACTGCAGCAGCTCCCCCTGGAAAATACACCCACCCCTCTCATGGACATGTTTTATGAAAAATGATTTTGACAGGGTTTTTTCTCCTGAGAAGCTGGGAGGCCTCAGGAACAAAATGTGAACATTGATTATCTGCTGCTGTGGAATGCAACAGGTGCATCTGGGATTGGTCTCATGTGGTTGTTTCTAATTAATGGCCAAGCACAGTCAGCTGTCTGGATTCTCTGGTCACTCACAAGATTTTATTGTGATTCCTTTCCTTTCTTTGCTAGCTCTCTGATGGAATCCTCTTTCTTTACTGTAGTTTTAATGTAATGTTTTCTTTTAATATAATATATATAATAAAATAATAAATCAGCCTTCTGAAACATGGAGTCAAGATTCTCATCTCTTCCCTCAACCACCCACCCCTCTTTTGTGTTTTGTTTGGATAGAAAGACAAATTCAGCCAATTAAGATATTTAAAAATTACATTCAGCTCCTCCTACTGATGGAGGAACAGATTATGGATTGATGCTGACACTGCAACAAAACCTATGAACAACTGTGACATCAATTTGTTACATAAATATGGATTTAGGAACTGTTCAGGAAAATTAGAAATTAAGACTCAGAACTGTGACTTGCAGCAGTTTTTGGGATTCCCAAATACAAAGCAGTAAATGAGTGAATATGGGGGCTCCAAAAGCTTTTCCTCAGTACCAAAGTGAGCTTTAAAGTAAATTAGAGTAAATTCCTGACACCTGAGCTGAGGGTGAAACACAGAGGATGAATTTAGGAGCTCTTAAAAACCTGAACAGCATCACTCCCTCATCATGTCCCCTGTATCACACACCTTTTATCCAACAGCCACTCCCAAATTCCCTCCTTCCATTTGTTTTAAACCTTTTCATGAGTGGAAAACAAAACCCAGAAAGTCCAATACATGCCTGGCTTTATTGCCTTAATAAACAATGCAGATATTCCAATACTGATGCTTTACCAGCAATGTGAAGTCAGTGTTTTCCTGATATATATAAATAAATAACTGCAATAACCAAAATAAGAAAGTTCTTATTAAATATACAGAACTTTACAGGAAGTATATAAAAAAAAAAAACAACCAACAAAAAGAAAGGGATGGATTTTCTGTTCTCAAATATAATTGCAGCAATGTTATCAAAACATTAATAACCTAAGGAAAGGTTGGGTGTTGTGTTTAGAAAAGCTTTAACTGTCCTCAGCCTCCAGGTTTATGTTATTCCCAAACTTTGCATAGAGCTGGACTTTGAGGTCAGACAGCACGCTCTGGATGGACTCCACTCGGGACTCCAGCGCCTCAATTTCCTCCTGTAAACTCCTCTGAAAAAGAAAAAATAAACAAAAATCAGTTCTGCACAACAAACTGAGCCAGGTCTGTCAGCACACAGAACCAACAAAGAGCTGCCTCTCCTCCAACCCATCCCAGGTCTGGCTGCAGGATTTATTGCTGGAGGGATCAAATCCTAAACCCAGCATGGACTGAGGCTGTGAAAGCTGCAGAGGATGCACAGATGCCACCCCAGTGGCCAGCACACAGCACAGCCCAGCAGCTCCCACAAACCTTGGCCTCCTCCAGCATCTCCTGAGTCTCCTCCAGGGAGTGACTGATGAAGACATCCCCGATCTGGTAGGGAATCAGGTGGGAGTCAGCATCATCCAGCAGCATGATGTCATCACAGGCATCCTCCAGGTTCTGCAGCTGCTTCTGTTTGCCAGGACACAGAAAGAAAATCCCTGTGAGAAACCTTTCAGTGGACACTGCACAGCTGGGTAAGGAAGCCAGACAGGCTGGGTTTTGGGAACAAATCCCACCCACCACCAAGATACCACTTTCAGAGCTGGAATTCAACAATTCAATCCAGCAGTCACTCCTAGTCAGCCCTCATTATCTGTCATTAACAGAATAATTAACTGTCTGGGCAACGGCAATACAGCAGATTTAAATGTCACTCATATCTGATATACTTTTACCATTCTCTACTCCCAAAGTATCAGAAACCTCCTATCAGATCCCAAGCTTTACTTAAACTCACAGTAACTCATTGCTGCTAATTTTCCATGTTCCAGCTGAAAACCCAATGAAAAGTTCATGAGATCTGAAGCAAACATACCTTTTTCACTTCTATTTCTTCTTTCAGCTCTGTGATCCTGCTGGTGTTTCTTGCAAACTTGTTAATTTTCTGTTGATCTTCAAAGGTGACATTGACATCTTCTGCAGCCTGTGAGGAGGAGATGTCAAAATAATTATTTCAGTTCTTACATTAGCTTGAGTCTCCCTGCAAGGATACTCCTACAAAGTGATGGAAAACAATCTGACAGCCATCACATTCTGCTTATGCTCAAAGTGCCTCTTCAAGGACACCACAAATACCCACATTTAGCTGGGTACATCCAATTAAAACATCCTAAAGGAAATCCCACGGCATCCTAAAGGAAAGGTTTCCTAGATACTGATGGCTGAACTGGACACCCTGCTCTGAGTTGTCTCTGCAGAGACACCATGAGCAGGAGCAGTTAGTGACATGCAGAGCAGAATGGCTTCACGCTGACAGGGAGGAGGATTAATTGGGATATTGGGCAGGAATTGTGCGCTGGGAGGGTGGTGAGAGGTGCCCAAGGCCAGGCTGGACACTGGGGCTGGGAGCAGCCGGGGACAGTGGAAGGTGTCCCTGCCATGGAAGGGATGGCATGATGGAATGAGACGAATTTTAAGCTTCTTTCCAACCCGAGCCATGATGATGACTCCATAATTAACTACTCTCTCAGAGAATACATTTCTCCTCACATCCACCCTGACCCTGTCCCTGTTTACAACGAGTCGCACCAG